GGGTTTGAATTGCCAGCTTTCTGGTTAGCAGTCAAATTAGAACTCTTAGAATTAAACAATAAAAAGATAACCCAGTTAAAAAATGAGCAAAGATTTGATAGACATTTCTTCAAAGAAGATATACAAATGGCCAATAATCATATGAAAAGATGCTCAACACCATAGCCATCAGGGAAATCAAATCAAAACCACTTCACATCTACAAGGATAGATATCAAAAAGACAGGCAAAAACAAGTGTTGGAGAGGATGTGGAGAAATTAGAGAACCCTCATACATTAATGTCAAATAGTGTAGCCATTTTGGAAAACAATATGACAGTTCCTGAAAATGGTAAACATAGAGTGACCATATGACCCAGCAATTACACTCCAGGTATCCCAAGAGAAGTGAAAAGTTATTCACACAAAATCTGTACATGAACCCTGCGGTGTAGTAAATTACCTGGTATAGCTTTTCTAGCCATATGTCTTTGTAAACTCCATGGTGGAATTTGCCACAAGCAACTGAGGAGCTCCTGATTGTTAAAGTTATCCACCTGGAGTATTTCTGTTGAGAGTGGCACAAAGCAACGTTCTGGGAAGTTCGCTTTCTCTCAGGTACTTAGAATTCTGATGTTATGATTGGTTAGTTTGGCCACTCTGCCAGGCTCAAAAGGAGTCTTCCTAGAGGCAGAAGAAGCCTCTCTGCTGGCTGAGAAAGATGTGGTGCTGAAAGAAATGTGCTCCTGAGAGACATACGCTGCTGAGAGAGACACTGAGAGACACGCACTACTGAGAGAGAGACTACTGGCTGAGAGACGGTCGGCTGAGAGAGACTGAGCATTTTTCCTGAACTTGAATTGTAGCCTGGTGCTTCCCTAATAAACCCCATAATCTGTAAGTTCTGTGTAGCCATTATAGCAAATTACCACACCCAGCAGAAAGGTGGTGGGTGCTGTGGGAGGAATGGTTGGTGTCAGGGTTGATGAAAGGGCTGCAGGGAAGCAGCATGTTTGGCCTCACAGGAATAGGCCATGGGCTGCTGATGGTGATTTTGTCTTCCTATTATGGGATTAGAGGAGGTCAGAAGATGTGGCCTCCTTGCCACTTTGGCAGATCTCACAGAATTACTCATAACAGCCAAAAACTAGGAGCAACCTAAATGCCCATCAACTGATGACTACAATGGAACATTTTCAGTAACAAATTTAAATGAAGTACTGATCTATGCTAGACCATGGATGAATCTTGAAAATATTATGCTAAGTGGCAGAAAGACAAAGCCCTCCTCTAGAGCTGGTGTCCTTACTTGGACCTCTAGCCTCCTAAACTGTGAGGAAATAAATTGGTTTGTTAAAGCTGCAAAAAAGAAGAGAAAAGAAAATATTATGCTAAGTGAAAGAAGTTGCAAAAGACCTTATCTTATCTAATTGCATTTATATGAATTATCCAGAAAGGTAAATCCAGAGAGACAGAAAATAGGTTAGTAGTTGCTTGGGGCTGGAGTGAGGGGAAAGTGGGGTGGGGAGCAGCACTGGGGAATGACTACTAATGTGTCATTTCTGAGGTGTTAAAAATGTTTAAAGTTAGGGCTAATGTTTGTACCATTCTGTTAATGGACAAAAATCCACAAAACCATACACTTTAAATGGTCAAATTTTATGGTATATGAAATATCACAATAAAGTTGTAAAAAAAAATATACTGAGAATACCCCAAAAAGTAGAGTGATGATTTATTGTTATTAAATATTACTTATATTTCCTTATATATGGATTGTCTATTTGTGTCCAGTTCCTATTTATCTGTTAAACTGGTTGAGTAGACTGACATGCTAATACTCAGGAAAGAGTATGTGAAATGCTTGGCAGCATGTCCAATACAGAATGAATGCTACAACTTACTGCACTTCTATTTTCTATAGGGTCTTGATGGATGATTTGTATGCTTTTTCATTTTCATGATTTTTTTTTTTAATTTTTATTTTGATTTGGTTGAAGATTTACAGAGTAAATTCACTTTTCATACAGCAGTTCACATATACTTTGTCTCATGTCATTGACCAAAATTTACAATGCAACAGCTCCCCTCTCACTTCCTCCCCATAGTTACCTCCTCCCAGTGTCCACATTTTCATGATTTTTATTTTTATTTAATCTCTTTCAAATCTGAACCATGTTATTGGATAGCTATTGCAGCTACCTCAATTCCTTTTAACAGTTTCAAAGTCAGAATATAAAAAGCCCTAGTGATGCAGTGGTTAAATATTCAGCTGCTATCCAAAAGGTCAGCAGTTCAACCTACAAGCCACTCCACAGGAGAAAGATGTGGCAGTCTGCATTTGTAAAGATTAAACCAAATACCCAAACCCACTGTCACTGAGTCAATTTTGACTCATAATGTCCCTACATGACAGAGCAGAACTGCCCCGTAGAGTTTCCATGGCTATAAATCTTTACAGAAGCTGAATGCCAGATCTTTCTCCTGCAGAGAAGCTGGTGGGTTCGAACTGCTGACCTTTTGGTTAGAATCCTAACACTTTAACCACTGTGTCACCAGGGTTCCTTCTGTAAAGATTACAGCCTTAGAAACCTTCTATGGGGGAGTTCTACTCTGTCTTATAGGGTCCACTATGAGTCAGACTTGATAGCAAAGAGTTTTCTGTTTGTTTAAATCAGAGTAGAAAGAAATATTAAAAAGCTATAAAGGCATACCTTGGAGAAATATTGTGGGTTTGGTTCCAGATCACATCAGTAAAGCAAGTCACAGATTTTTTGGTTTCCCAGTGCATACAAAAGTTTTATTTAAATTAGTCCAAAAGACTAATGGACTACATGAACCCCAGCATCCATGTCCCTGATTATCAGTAAAACTAGATAGTACCCAACTAGCACTGCTGACCTCTCTGAAAGGGATCACAATGGAAGTTGCTGGATAGAGTAGGAGAAAATGTGATATAAAATTCAAAATAATAAAAAAGACCAGGCTTACTTATCTGATAGAAATTGGGAGAACTCCCAAGACAGTGGCCCTCAGACAACCTTCAAGCCTGAACTCACCCCTGTGACTCAATTTTCAGTCAAACAATAGATATATATTGTGAACAATGACACCAGGGAGGTACGCACTCCTTAGAACAAGCAACCATACAAGATCAAAAGGACAGAATTTGCCCAGGGATCAAGCTCAGAAGGCAGGAAGAGAGAGGAAAGAAAATGGAAATGGTAAACACAAGGAAGAAGTGTGAAGACTGTTGTTACTTACACTCTGGGAATTGTAATCAATGTCACAAAACAAAATGCGTATGAATTGTTGAACGGAAAACCAATTTCCTTTGTAAACTTTCACGTAAATAACAATTTTAAAAAATTGTAATTGAAATAATTATTTTCAGTTTTTTTAAAGTTATGTTTATACTATATTGCAGTTTAGTAATCGTGCAATAGCACTATGGAAAAGTTTGAAATATTGTTTGAGAATTACCAAAATGTGAGACAAAGACACAAAGTGAGCACATGTTGGAAAATGGTGCCAACAGACTTGCTCAATGCAAGGTTGCGACCTTGAATTTGTAAAAACAGAGTACCTGTGAATGCAACAAAGCAAAATACAATAAATGAGGTATGCCTGTATTATGGGAAATTTAAGTGATTATGTCAATATTTATAGTTCCTGAATCTCTTCCTAGAGAAATCTAAGAAGTCTTAATTCTTGTCACTTCTATCACTTCAGCATTGTCAGGAATGCAGTACAATTAAAATTGATTAGTATTCATTCTCCTAATACAAAAATGCAGAGAATATATATGCATCAACTACTATCTACTGGTCAATATCCACCACTAAGCATATTTGGCCATTACATACAGACAGTTAATGCTAACAAGTCTTAAGTGGCTCATCTTAGCTTTCATTCATTAGACAGTATTAATCATCCATCGATGCTTTAAAAACAAACAAACAAACAAATTTGATAGAATGATACGTGATAAAGCAAATGTTATAGTAAAATAGTATGCAGTATCTAGGTGGCAGTTTTATGAGTGGATGTTGTACAATTCTTTCAACTTTTCTGTATATTTGAAATTTTTCATAATGCTCAAAAGCAAAACTGAAAATTAAACTTGAAAATATACAGAGGTCTAATTTATGACCTTGTTTATTAGCTTTAGCAAATTAAATTTCATTTACTAAATTATTAGGCAATAAAAATCTAAGTATTAACACAAATACAAGTTCCTAATCTACAGACGGCTGATGAACAACAGATGAAGACATATACATTTATACTTGTGGTAGGTACTTCTTTTTTTTTTTTCCTTTAATTATTGTCTCCTCTTACTCTAAGCTTTCCTCTCAAAAGGCAAGAACCACATTTGCTTAACTTCCTAGCCCCGAGTTGGGTCTCTGTATACCAGTAGACATCCACTTTGTTTTACTTATTGACTATAACAACATTTTCAGATATGGAGATATAATGATTTATTAAAGTTGATCAGTCCCTGTAAATCGCATTGCAAAGCAGTCTGAATCTTCTTTATTCAGACTTTTTAAACTGAAAATTCATTATGTGTCTTTAATTTTTCACTATGTAACTAATTCAAATAGCAATTTCTGCTGGAATTAAAGTCACAGACACAACTGGCTAGTGTTCAAAAGACAGATTTATAAAAGGGTGTGTTGTTTGGAGTAAAATTTTATCACTAGACTCATACAGACCTGGTTTGAATTCTGGCTCAGTAATTTAGAAACTGAGTGACTTTAGAGACATTATCTAATCCTCTAAGCTTCTGTTTCCTCATGAAATGATAATAGTGTCTACCTCACAAAGCTGCTGTAAAGAGTAAATGACACAATGATGAAAAAGTATTTCTCATTATGTCTAGCACATAACAAAAACTCATGCCACATTACCCTTTAAAAATATCACTATTCAAATCTGATATTCTTTCTACATATCACTTCTTTCCACATAAGAGTTTATATGTATCTATCAGATGGAAATTGATTCTTATACATACTGTACTGTCCAGTGCTAGTCTGATAGATGGGAGTTGAAACAGACATAGAAGTGACAGTAGAAACTCCAGGGTTTTCTCCGTCCCCTTTTCTGTTCCGTGTATCTTCAGAAGATAGGTCTTTCAAAATTTTTCTGTGAAAAATAGAACTCCATTAATGTTGGTAAAAAAGACTGGGAACTGCCTTATGAGGACTCCTTTACAAAAAGAAAGTGCTAAGCCTCTTCCCATCTCAGATTCTAAATGCAATAATCCAATCAACAGGTGAATGGATGAACAAAATGGTGTGTGGGTGTGTGTGTAGACAGTGGAATATTTTTCAATCATAAAGAGAAATTAAGTTCTGATACATGCTATGACATTCAAGGATGAACCTTGAAAACATTATGCTGAGTGAGAAAAGACTCAGAAGAATAAATATTCTAGGATTCCGCTACATGAAATATCTAGAATAGACAAACACATAGAGACCAAAGCATTTTAGTGGGTACCTGTGGCTGGGAAGGGAGAAGGAATGGAGAATTATTGCTTAAGTGTGACTCAATTTCTGCTTGGGTTAATAAAAGTTTTCAAAATAGATAGTGGTAATGGTTGTACAGCATTGTGAGTGTAATTAATGTAATTTAATTTTACACTTAAAAATAGTTAAAATGGTAAATTTTTGTTGTATATGTTTTACCACAATAAAATAATCTACCAAACCAAACCAAAAGACCAAACTCACTGCCATCAAGTCAGATCCAACTCATAGCGACCTCTCCTTGGGTTTCCAAGACGGTATCACTATGGAATTAGATTGCCCAACCTTCCTTCCAAGGAGTGGCTGGTGGGTTTGAACCACCAGCCTTCTGGTTAGCAGTCAAATGCCTTAGGCACTATGCCACCAGAGCTCCTAAAATAATCTACCAGACACCTAAATCATTGTGCTAAGGAATCCTTTTGTTCGGCACATACTATTATAATGATAAAAAGGCGTCCACAGTGACACAAATGGTTGTGTGTGACTACTAACCTAAAGGTTGGCAGTTTGAATCCACCTAGGTGCCATGCAAGAAAACCCAGCAATCTGCTTCTGTAAAATTACAGCCAAGAAAATCCTACAAAGCAGTTCTAGTCTGTGACACATGGGGTCACCATGAGTCAGAATGGACTCAACAGCAATGGGTACTGTAATAACGTGGGGCAAGCTAGTTATACTTTACTTTATAACTACTCAAAAAGAGATAGTAATATATATATAAAAAAAATAGTACAGAGTGCCTTTCTATAGAAAAGACATTGGAGAGGTATGAAATGTCTCTTTAATTATAATTAAAAAGCTAATATTCACTTTCTAAATAGTGTCAATGATCTTAATTTTAAAAGATCAAATTTGATTTTTAACCTTCAACTTTGCAATGGAAGAGAAGAGTCTATAGTTCTCAGAAAGAAACAAGGTTAGAAATACTACAATAATAATGCACAGAGTATTGAGTGATAAAATTTATTTTAACAAAAAGGTAAATATGATCTCACAGGTATCCTTCACACTTGGTGAAATGGGACTCATTACAGGAATCAGAGGATGGCCAAGTATTGTTTGCTAAAAATAAAGGTCTTCCAAAAGACAAATGGAGGTAGAGATAGAAAGAAAGCAATAAATATTATGTGTATATGGCAAAAAAATTTACTCAAGAATTTCACGTTCATGTCCCATATAGGTTAATCTCACTGACCCTCGGTTTCTTAATATGCAGAGTGGGGATGCTAATTCTTAACCTTCTGGTGGAGAACTGTGAGGATTACATGAGATAACGATACAATATCCTCAGCCTGGTATCCAGCTCATAGATGTTGTGTGCTGTTGACTCAATCCCAACTCATAGCAAACCTATAGGATGTAGCAGATCTGTCCATACAGTTTCCTAGGCTGTAATCTTTTTTTTTTTTTTCCTTTCTTTTTTTCTTTTTTTTTAATTAGGATTTGGGTGAAGATTTACAGAGTAAATTCACTTTTCATACAGCAGTTCACATATACTTTGTCTCATGTCATTGAC